AACGTTGCAATTCCCTGTAAAATAATAATAATAATAATAATGAAAGCGGTAAAGAGTTAAAATTTGCACATAAGCTCATAATTGTATAAAAAATTAGATAAACAAGCCGAATATGACAGTTGAGCGACCGTGCTAGAACCACGGAACTCGGAAATGCCTAACACCTTATCCCGTGTTAACAGAATTCCTTATCCGGATTTCTGGTTCGCGGACTGTAATACAGAGTCATTCTTTTCCTCGATTCGGGATTAAATTGGTGACTTGGGACACCCTAAATCTCCCAAGTGGCGACTCTGAAATAAATAAATCCCGTTTCGATTGTCCTTTAATTGGAAAAACTCCTGTATCCTCACGGGTGCGGTAAAAAGGAGGTGTGACACTATTGATAATGTCTTGATACCAGTCAACTTGAAGGACAAACTACACTGGATATTGGCTGTGGTCTCATTCAAGGAGAGATGTATCAAAGTGTATGACTCGTACAGATCGGCACATCATGATGCCTATGTAGCTTCTGAGATAGATAAGCTTGCTAAGCTTGTACCTCTATATGTATCATCAGTGGCTTTTACAGAGATAGTCAAGGCATAGATTGGTCTACTTACTCAGCATACATTGACAAGTCACATACTGATCCTTTTGAAGTTGTTTTCATATCAAATCTGCCTCAACAAAAAGCTGGGTGCATGTATGTATTCAATCATCATGCTTGTATCATTTTAAAACTCTAATTGTATGAATTATTTTTAATTGTTTCAATCAACATTTTTCAGGGATTGTGGGGTGCATGTTGCGGCATACACAGAGTTTCTGAGCACTCTTGGTGAGGTTCCACAAATAACATTTGATTCCAATCTACTCCGTCAAAGATATGGTGCTCTCCTCTGGGACTATGCTATGCGGAAGATAGACATTTATGCCATAAGCGAGAATGAAGCACCCACAAAGATTGCTAGGAAAATCACAGAGTCAGATTCAAAGTTGCAGATAGTGTTAGAGTAGCTTTAGGTGGATGTAGTTTTGGAAGGTTGTTTTAGGTGAATACTATTTTTTGAATAGTTTTTTGGTGAAGATGGTATTCAGTTAGAAAAAACCATGTTTTAATCACTTTATCAACAGTGTTCATATATGACCATTACAACTTTTCAATCTATGTTTCATTGTTTTGTTCATAAATATTCATGCTTAGTCTACAGTTTCTATTCATATGTATCTTACATGATATATTCATATGTATTCAACAGGGCGTATAAGTATGTATCAAGATTCAGTCACTTTGCTTGTATATCAAAGTCAGAAACTGTATGTTACAGGTTTATATGTATGTACTCAACTTGATGTATTTATTTTACTTAAGCAGGTTATATTCATACATATACAAATCTATAAGTAATTGTATTCATTTGGTTTGATTTGTATAGTCAAGGCAGACACAATGTATAAGACAATTTATATTTTTGTATGTATTCAACATTGTATATTAGTATATAATCAGCTCCTCACGTGTGTATTGTATATCCAAATTAGAGACTGAATAATACAATTGCTATAATTATATATTCAGCAGATTGTATATGTATTTATTGAAATTGTTATATTATAACTAAGTATATAGTTGTATTCAGATGTATTGTGGTTGGTTATATATATACAACTCATCCACTGTCTATAATAGATTGTCTAAGTATCTATTGAAAGGTTGTGATCGAATGTATTCAATACAATACTACAACTAACTATATCCAGAATCTATTCACGAAAAGGTTCAAAATGTATTATTTCACAATGTCATCGGAAGTAATGACAAATCGTTGGAGCACTAATACATGTCAGAGTGTTAACTAAATCCTACGTGGAGCATTTCTACACGTTCGCTTATTATGTCCTCCCTGCCCATATATGCTACATGAATGTTGATTTTTCGGCTGCATCAATTCACTGAAAGGTTTATCGCGCTTCTTCTTTGGCCTTTCAAGAGGTCTTTTCCATTTGGGTGGTAATACAACTTCCTCTGCAACATGTACTTGTATATTCCATTCATTTCTATCCGGTAGCGGGTACACAGGAACATTGTATGTCATTAAAACAGAATTTGGTTTGTAATAGTTAGAGTAATAATCTTCTGGCATTAGAAACTTGCTCTTCAATACAGACCAAGCATGTGGGCATGGTAACTCATCAACTTGGAACCTCCCGCAAACGTATTTTCTCTTTAACAGGCAGACGGTGTAATTCCTCTCTTCATCAGTAACTGTATGTAAGTATTCAGTTGATGGTACCACCTACATTTAAACATAGACGTATAAGTTTTGCGCACATATAAACTATTTTTTTTATTTATATACCATAGAATAGACGTATTAAATATGCAACAGTATGAATTAAATCAAATATGTATTGAATACAAACATATTTATGTATGTATAATGCAGAATTATTAAGTTAAATAATGCATCATATATGCATAATGCATAATTATTTCAGTTAAACAAATGAATTTCTGTATGTATAATGCAGAATTATTAAGTTAAATAATGCATCATATATGCATAATGCATAATTATTTCAGTTAAACAAATGAATTTCTGTATGTATAATGCAGAATTATTCAGTTAAATACAACTGAAATGTTTGAATACAGAAGAATACATCATTTATGTAGACCGGCCGACTATAAACTATAATTACATCTTAGCTTATGAATACACTATTATACATCTAAAATCTGGTTAACTTTAGGCAGTTGAAAAGAAACAAAAACATTATAAGACTTTATATGATAATACAACTGAATACATCTATCTAAAAAAAGGTATAAATTATTTCAAAAAAAATTAAGCTAGCTAAATAAAGAGCTAAATATATGATACAATGATATTAAAATAAAACTTACAGTCATGCGTGTAGACATTGCCTCATTCAATGTCAGCATCTCCTGGTATTTGTTTCCAAGCATTGTGTAAGTTTGTGTAGCTTCTTTGCGGTTACTGCAATTTCAACGTCCAAACATCTTCCTAACTTCTTCGAGGAAGTTGTATATTGGCAATTTCTCTTGCTGACACTAGTGCGACATTGATTGACTCAGCAATATTTGACGTCATGGTCCATCCCCTATTAACAGGTGCATACAACCTAGCCCACTTTTCGTATCCAGCTAACTCCAAGTATTCTTTCACCCTAATATCTACCTTCTCCACCTTCTCCATCAGACTGTCAAATTCAGCTTGTGTGTATGCTTTTGCCATCGAAAAGTATATCTCGCTCAACTTTGCATGGCTCTTTTAGAATTTCTTATATATGTTGTTCCATAGATGCCATATACATGCAAAATGCGGTACATCTGGATACACTCTCGATACAGATTTAATGATACTCTCATTTCTATCTGAAACGATGCACATGTTTTCCCTGTCACCGTATGCTATCTTGAATTGCTCAAAGAATCACGTCCAAGCAGTATCGTTCTCTGAATCAATAACATCATATGCTAGTGGTAATATATGACCTGTAAAGACAATTGTATACATATTTTTAAAATATGTATTTCAATCTTTACAATATTAATAAAATTTATTATAATTCACATACTCACCTGCACCATCCAACATGCTGGCCGAGACGAATGTCCCGGTGTAGTAAGATTTTAGGTGACTTCCATCCACAACCACAGTGGGTCTACAATGATCAAACCCCTTTATAAAGGCATACAAAGATATGTACACATACATGAACTCATTTTTGGGCGATTTTACCATTCTAATGTGCGAACCCGGATATGTCTTATCCATTGTATATAAGTATCCTGGTAATTTGTTGTATTAATCAGCCGGTTCACCCCTCAAAAAATTCATTGCCTTTTTTTTTGCCCGCCACGCCAACATTTAGCTAACATCTACACTTAAATCTAATTTCACATCATCAATTATATCCTTTGGGGTGTATTTCCTCTTATGATTAGTAAGCTTGGGCCGAATCCTACCGCCTATAAGGCTGCTACTTGCCTGTCGCTGCTCATACATCTTGTCCTTCAATGGACATGTATGCTTATCAATGAACTCTCTCACTTTGAATAGTTCTGATTTGTTAATGCTCGAAGCCTTAAACCTCCATTCACAATCTTCTGATATACATAATAATGCATAGCTGCAAAGAATTTATCATTATACATATGATTAGCATAAATGCTTACAAAAAAATCACTCATATACACATGAATACAAATACGACTATAGTTATTTGTGCAAATAATACAACTGAATACACTTATAGTTATATGCATACATTTGTATACAACTAGTAAACCAAAGAGGAAAATAATGAGAGCCACTGTAATAAGTTTATACAATTAAAATACACAAGAATACATGTATTTGAAGACCATAAAAAATAGTTAACCACATCAGTGAAGATCAATTGTATTACAAATATGCATAAACACATCAACATATAACTTACAACTCCAACCATAAATACAAAATACGACAAAAATAAAGAATAATAAAATACACTCAAACCTAACAGAATTAGATCTATCAACCCCGAATTGAAACCTTTGAGATATAGCATAATGCTCCATCACCTCTTTCAATGTAGTCTTATCCTTATATACTTGTCCAGCCATAACCTCCCTTTGATTAGTTTTTGAAATTATCAAATCCTTGTCCAGTTCGAACACCCCAATGGCTTGTCCTAAATTGACAAAATCTAGAGCAAGTGTATCATCTGTATCGGAATCATACCTTTGAACTGCTTCATTTATTTGCACAATGTCGTCTTGAATTAAACTACCTCCGGATACAAGTTCTTTTTCAATCGTTGTTATGCACAAAGGATACATCCTGAGTTCTCTGTTCTTTTTTTTTTCAACTCTACATACACCCTGTAATCCATATCATTGTGTATTTCCATTGGCGTGCAATTTTCTTCTACTTTGCATTGAATTTTAATGGACTTTGAGCTCAAATCTATGCCCAGTTGATTAGAGATTGACGCAACCAAATCATTATACGACGCATACTCCTTTATCAGTATTCCCTCAATTGAATAATCGACGTAATTGCTCTCACTGTTCCACTTGCCAGAATGCTGCAACAACACTATTAAACTTGCCATATGTATACACTTGTATCAATCACAATTTTTCGTTGTTGAAAAGATAACTGGGTACGTACTGGAACTATAGAAATAAGGGAGAACTTAAAATCCAGATGTTGCTCTGCTTTAGTTATTTTTTCTGATTGAAAAACTTTCGTGAATGGAGGAATACAGATTTATGGTGCAATAGTTTGTGTTAATTGAGTTATATTAGGAGAATATCAGGTAAATTGATTTCCTTTCCATTTTAAACCAGTTGAAAGTTCCATATTTTACGCTAAAAATGTTGCTGTATTTTTTAATACACCTCGTAAATACAGTTGAATACATCTAAAGATTAGCTGAACTTCCCTGATTCACGCCTATTTTTGCTACTGTATTCATGAATACATTAGGTTACATACATCAAATACATCTTATAACCATGTAAAATGTATCTATAAAATGTAATATAGCAAATGGTATCTATAGATGACTAATTACTACTAAAATATAGTGCTTTATGAAAATTTCTCTTTTATATTCTTAGCAGCAAGCTATAAATATGTGCCTAGAATCACGTTTCAAAAAATTCAAAGCATTCAATTCCTAAAAAATTCCAAAGCAGTTCTGATTCTCCTTAAGTGAATACACTTCCTAAATTATCGCCGAACAATAATGAAGAGATTAATGCATTTTCTGTTGCTACGTGTATATATGAGATTAATGGACTCTAATACATTTTGAAAACATATTGTACATTTATTTTCGATTTTTTTTATGTTTCTTACTTGTTCAGATTAATACGACTGCACAAGTTTTTGTCAAACAATATCGAATTAAATAGTAAAATTATACTCTTATATACTATTGGTATAAAGTTTTATTTTTAATTATATGTCAAAATAAATTTTTACACAGTATAATGTTGATATTAAATAGTTTATACATTACAATGGTATTTTTAGTATATCAATATACAGAGTATATTGAATCCTTCAGCCATTATATGTATATATTGTATTTTATGGAATAATAGTAGATAACTAAATATATACATGGTATTTCTTTTATATATATATATATATATA